TGTGATGCTCCATAAATAATTGTTGAGCAGATGAATGAGAGCAAGAGCAATTGGCTGAAAGATTTCAAGTTGTGAAAAATAAGTCTGAATGGTGAACAGCACAGATCAAACCAGAAGGCTTTCCATACCGTGTAAACAAAGTACTGAATCATATAAGCAACAAGGCACCATTTAATCCAACCATTAATTTATGTAATTTAGAACGGTATGATTTGTATCGTGCAAAAAAGTACACATACCGTAAATGTACAGCTCGATGAATATTTACCTAAGTATATATTTGTGCAGTTACAGCTCAGATCCAGAAACTATTTCCAGAATCCCAGATGGGGTGGGGGTAGCTTTTATTTTTGATTCACAACATTTTGAATACCAAGTCCCATGGTTGATCTGTGTCATAACTAGGATTGGAATTATTACAGCTGTTCCTGGGATTAGCAAGTCTTTAGACTGGAGTAAGAACAGTAGTTCATACCATCTAATCATGTGACAAAAATAATACAATAATTACTATGGTTAATGTTTATAAGCCATCAGCATTCCTTGGCACTTTATATGCATTACTTCGATTTACCTGTTCCTCCAGGCTTTGTTGCTGTCCTATTTTATAGATGTTAAAGGTTAGAAAGGTAAAGTCATCTGCCTCAGGTTCCACAGCTAGCAAATAGAGTGAGACTTCAATCCAGGCCTGGCCCTCACGGAGCCTGATCTCTTGTCGGTGATCAAATATCTGGTACCCACGTTTAAACAACTAAAATGTTATGTCTTTAGGGTGGGAGGTGATGATTATGTTTGTTACCTGCACATGATGAATGCTCATTTTAGGCATATTCTGAACTGTGTCTTACTAGAATTATGAAGGGGAAAGAGAGTCTCTGATTTTGTGACAGCCATGTCCAGAGTGATGTTGTTGTTGAACCCCAGGGGCTCGCCACTTGGGGTGTTCTATTCAAGAAGGAGGCATAGTTGTCACAAGGTAGTTTGATTTACTTGCAGCAAGAAAATGAAACAGGATTTATATCCAAAGCTGTCTTGCCCAGATCTTGAGACCTTGACCTAACAGTGTTCTCAGGGTGGATCTCTCTGAGGCAAGAAGATGCTTTTCAGTAAGGACGACTCTTTAAAATCTACATGTAGTCAGACGACGATGGGCTCTACAGACAACTTTTGAAAACAGGACACAAGTAGATGAAATGAGGACCTACATATCCAGAAATTCCCAAATTAAGTTGTCTAAAAAATTAATGTGAGTGTAATTAAGTGCTTGCCAGTGTTAGTAAAGTGGCAAACTTTTTAGAACATTAAGATTGTTTCAGGAACTAAGACATCCAAAGAAAACATGAAACTTCCACAGCCACTAAATTTATTTTAATGGCCCTCAAAGTTGCTTAAACTCAAGTCTCCTAAAAGTGTTAACGTTTTAATTTGGTTTCACAATGCAGAAAGAACCCATCGCATTGAAAGAACTCTAGCTATTATGCATGACCTGGACATTTGAAAAGTATCCTACATAATAAAAGGCTAACATGCAAATAGACCGAACAGTGGAACGACCTGTTGCTATGATGCACACTGACCACCAGGGGGCAGATGCTCAACACAGGAGCTGCCCCTTGGTGATCAGTGTGCTCCCATAGAGGGAGTACTGCTCAGCCAGAAGCCGGGCTCATGGCTAACCAGCACAGCGGCAGTGGCAGGAACCTCTCACGTCTCTGCAGCAGTGCTAAGGACCCCTGGGGGATGTCTGCTTGCCTGTTTATGTCCGTTCAGCATCTGCCCCCTGGTGGTCAATGCGCATTATAGCAACCGGTTGTTCCACTGCTGGCAGGTGGGCATCCCCAGAGAGGTCTCAGACTGTGAGAAGGTGCAGGCTAGGCTGAGGGACCCAGCCCCAACAAGTGCAAGAATGTTGTGCACTGGGCCTCTAGTAGTTAATATTTGTTCATTATGTTTTTAGAAAAAGTGGGAAGGACAGTGGGCACTTTTTAGCACATTTAGGCTTAAACTGGGAATACTCAATGAAATTCAGGTTTATGAGATGAAAGCATGGCAAGAGGTATTAGATTGCTGTGGAGAAACATGTTTCAGGAAACATCTTAAAAATATATAAACAGTGTGCTTTATCCAACTTGCTTGGCGAAAGGCTGCAGTTTTAAGTTGTTTATCGTAGTCGGTACAAAGAAGATTGTTGCCAGTTGTATTTACTATCTGAAGAGCTGTGGGTGCCAAGAAGTGAGTTCAGGATTGTTTTTGATACCTGTTTATTTTTAAATGGGGAATGGTTTCTACTCTAAGCTGCTCCTGTTGGTAAATGTTTCTTTTACAGACTTTGTTTAATAAATTATGCATTTAAGTGCAACCATCAACTGGGGAGTAGGGTTATGTATACTGAATTCTATGATTAAAGTTAATCCTAAAATATACCTGTGGAAAGAATCCCCCAAAATGAAATAAATATGTGAAGTCGTGGTAGCAAGCAGATTATTGTTCTCACCCTTTCTACCTGCCCTCCTCAAACCAGGGGTTTCTTTACTGTCCTGTCAGAGTGCCTGTGTCTGCGTAGCTTTTTGGAGTTTGCATAGGTCACCATACCCAAGGCTGTCACTTAACGTGGTGTCCCTGGAGCCAAGCAGGTCCTGCTGCCAAGAACCTTTACCTGAACAATGGTTCTTAGCGTTAAACTGCCTTCCTCCAAGTCATTCCCTCAGACTTTGTAATGAGCCAGAGGGAAGGGAGTGAAGGAGATAGCAGAACAGGGTGATGTCAGTGTCCTAGTTAGTGCTCTTCTGTAAGAATGGGGAACTAAGACTCTCTCAGATTCTTGTGGTTGCTGTTGTTTTTAAAACATTAAAAAAAAAACAAAAAAAAACCACACACACAGTGAAATATAATACACAGACACTTAATTGGTTCACTAAGATGCTTCCCTTCTGAGTGCTACCTGAACTGTGCTTTCTGCTAGTGATGATTTCAGAGGATAACAATTGGGAGGCTTTGCTAACGGAAGAGGGAAATTGAAATTAAGATGACAACAAGAATATGGGTAAAAGAGTAAGTTGAGATCCCTATAAATGAAAGAATCCTGAAGTCATGTTTCTTATAATACTAGTGGCCTGTGCAGAAATTCATGCATGGAGGGGGGTTCCCTTCAGCCCAGCCTGCACCCTCTCCAATTGGGGATCGCTTTTGGGGGGGGATGTCTGACTGCGGGGATAGGGCCTAAACCAACAGTCGGACATCCCTCTCACAATCTGAGACTGCTAGCTCCTAACTGCTCACCTGCTGCCTGCCTGATTGCCCCTAACTATCTCTGCCTGCCTGCCTAATCACCCCTAACTGCCCTCTCCAGCTGGCCTGATCTTGCCCCCCCAACTGCCTCCCCTGTCAACCTGGTTGCACCCAACTTTCCTCCCCTGCCAGCCTGATCTTGCCCCCATGTACCCTCCTCTGCAGGCCTTCTCTTGTCCCAAATGGCCCTCCTCTGCTGGCCAATTTGGTTATGATTAGTCGGATTCTATGCCAGTAGGACAAAAGCTCTGCCTTGCTTTTACCAGTTTGGCTCAGTGGGTAGAGTGTTGACCTGTGGACTGAAGGCTCCCAGGTTCGATTCCAGACAAGGGCATGTACCTTGGGTTTTGGGCCCATCCTCAGTAGGAGATGTGCAAGAGCCGGCTGATCGATTTTCTTAACTCTCTATCCCTCTTCCTTCCTCTCTCTAAAAAATCAATAAAATATATATTGTAAAACAAAACAAAACAAAACAAAACAAAAAACAAGCCTCTGCTTCCTAGGCAGCCATTGGCTACTCACAGTAACCAGATTTGGTTCTGATTGGTCGGTTTCTTTGCCAGTCAGCATCAAGAGCTCTGCCTCCTAGACAGCCATTGGTTCTTCACAGCACCCACATTTGGTTCTGATTGGTTGGTTCCTATGCCAGTCAATGTCAAAAGCTCTGCCTCCTAGACAGCCATTGGTTCCTCACAGCATCCACATTTGGTTCTGATTAGTTGGTTCCTATGCCAGTCAATGTCAAAAGCTCTGCCTACTAGAAGGCCATTGGTTCTTTACAGCATCAGATTTGGTTCTGATTGGTCAGTTCCTATGTCAATCAACTTCAAAAGCTCTGCCTCTTAGGCAGCCATTAGTTCTTCACAGCACCCACATTTGGTTCTGATTGGTTTGTTCCTATGTCAACGTCAAAAGCTCTGCCTCCTAGGCAGCCATTCACTCTTCAAAGCACCCAGATTCTGTTTTGTCAGTTCCTATGCCAGTCAGCATCTCTGGGCCTATCAATGGGGCTGATCAGCAGCCCCAGTGGAGGCCTGGAGAGACATGGAGGCCTGACTGCTGGCTGGACTGGGAGAGAAAGAGAAAGGCAAGTAATTGATCAAAAGCTACCACAAAGGCAACAGATCAGTCCCTGCTTTTCTCTTCGGGCCTCTCTCCGGCCCTGATTCGCAGCCTCATCAGCAGTGTTGGAGCACCGCACCTGCAGTGGAAGCAGTTACGACCCAGGGTTTTTGTACATTAGGATACAAAGCTGGTGAAAAGACAAAGACAGGGCATGAGAAAAGAAGCGGGACATGCAGTCTTCCAGGCCTCTCTTTGTTGTTGCCATTTGTTTCAAACTACTCAATACTTTGTTCTTAGGACTGATGCTTACCATCGGATTGCAAATAAACCTGAATTTTAAATTACTGTGTTTTCTTAGTTTTTCTTGAGAGCTAAATTCTTAGGTGTATATATAAGTCAATTATGAAAACAACCTGCAGATATTTTATAGTCTTCTTGCATATTTCAGATGTTAAAATTCAGATACTTACAGTATTTTTTTCTCCATTTGAAAGCTGCTTCATTTAATGGGGAATTGATGTAGTAGAGATAAGCTTTAATACAATGACAATATTTTGATTAATTCTGGATATGTGGGATTTGATAAAGTTACATTGGTACTTGCTTAGGCAGACATGAATTTTAAAACAATGTAATTTTTCTTACAGTCCTATTTTGTGACGGATTATGATCCAACCATCGAGGATTCCTACACAAAGCAGTGCGTGATAGATGACAGAGCGGCCCGGCTAGATAGTAAGTAGTCTTCCTTTACTTGATAGTTCACATATCCCATTTTTTTAAAAATATATATTGTATTGATTTTTTACAAAGAGGAAGAGAGAGGGATAGAGAGTTTGAGAAAGAATTATCGACCAGCTGCCTCCTGCACACCTCCTACTGGGGATGTGCCAGCAGCCAAGGTACATGCCCTTGACCGGAATCGAACCCGGGACCTTTCAGTCCGCGGGCCGACGCTCTATCCACTGAGCCAAACCGGTTTCAGCACATATCCCATTTTTAATAACTAAGCTCTGATGTTTTTCTAGGTTAAATACAGTAGAAATATTAGATAATCTTACACATAAGCCTATCTTTTTAAAATTTTAATTGATAAATCTGCACATTGGGTAATTTAAATATTCCTCAGTAAATGGAAGGTAAAACAGCACCTGGATTGATCTTGTTCTGGGAAAACTAGTCCTCTAGCATTATAACTCGAAGTTGTGTTTATTGGGCTATTTGGGAAAACCGTGAGGTTTCAGCTCTTCTTAGTTTTAGTAAAAAGAATTTAGCTTCCATGGCCTAAAAAGGCTTTATTAGGCCATTGCTAGAAGAGAAGAAAAAAAAAAAAACAAAGGCCAGTCTTGAGGCATGAAGCCTACTCTACCAGCAGCATGGCTCGGAGGGAAAGATAGTAGTCATCCGGAGGTTTGCAAGCAGTTAATACTTTAAGTGTGGGGGAGAAAGATGTAAGTCATTCTGAAAAGGGTTTCCATTTCCTGTAGACCAAGGGGATGGGAGAAAGTGGAGTGGGCTAGTTCTGGGATAGGCCCAAAGAGTCCAAGGAAGAGGCGTCGGCTCCCGTGGATTAGCGGTGGACAGCAGATTCAGATATTCATGTGTAAATAAGAAGTGGGGGCTCCTGGCATTCTGTGGCACACAGCTCTTCTCTCTTTTGGATAATCGTGGAAATAGCCACCTGGAAATTAACCCTAAATCCCAGGAGATACACGGGAAGATGAGCAGTCTTTTGTCAGTCTGGGTCTACAGCTATCAGCAGATGTCTGTCTCTCTCACTCTCTGGCTGCTGTAATTTTAATTCAGAACATCCAAGGATTTTCTTTTTCTTGTTCTACCTTTTTGTGAAGCTTAAACTAGGTGAAGTAAATAAAGAAGAGGTTCAATAATTGTTAACTTGCTTAGAATTTATAGCACAAAGGCTTTAGCAAATACTGTGTTTTGCTTGGCTAACACTTCACCTCTGCACAAAAGAAAGCCCTGTCCCTTTGACTAGTACAGTCCTTTCACAGAGCTGAAGAAAAGCATTAGCACCTGCACTTGAAGTATGGTATTTGGGGTGTAAAGCAGAGTTTCCTTTTTGAATTTATAGGTTTCTTTTCCAGTTCTTTCCATGGAGGAGATAAACATTCAAATGAATTCAGAGGTTATCTGACTCCCAAGATGTATTTGATATTTTTAACCTTGTATAATTGGTATGTTAATATATTCTAACTGCAAAATCAACCTGTGCTGATGAAGGTAATCCTGAAACTGGCTGCCATTAGAATATATTTGTCTTTCGTATTGATAATAAAGTCTGAAGAGGAGAAGAATTCCATTTCTTTATCACACTAAGTATGGCATGCTCTGAAAGACTCATATTAATTGGACCTGCCTTTGTGGGAGGCAATTTATACATTGAAAACATGGACACAGTTACAGTTGTTGCTTTTTCTTTAGTTCTAGATACAGCAGGACAAGAAGAGTTTGGAGCTATGAGAGAACAGTACATGCGAACTGGCGAGGGTTTCCTGCTGGTCTTTTCAGTCACAGATAGAGGCAGGTTTGTACCAGTGTTAAAATGGAGATCTCTCTTCAGTCTAGAACAGCAGTCGCTAACTGGTGGTTTGCGGACCACTGCTGGGTGGTCCGAAGGTCCAAAAGGTTGGTGACCGCTGGTCTACACCCCTGTTTTATTGGATTTGGATTTTCTGGGTTTTAGAAAGAAAATGAAATAGAGTATTAAATGGGACAAGGGACATATGCTGCCCCTTGGCCAAATTGATTAATTGCTTTTCTTTTTTTAGTTTTGAAGAAATCTATAAGTTTCAAAGACAGATTCTCAGAGTAAAGGATCGTGATGAGTTTCCAATGATTTTAATCGGTAACAAAGCAGATCTGGATCATCAGAGACAGGTGAGAAGGAATTTTGCATTTGGAAAACCAGTTGTTTCTATGTAAGTGAGTGGATGTATTTAATGCAACAATTGAAAGTGCCATGATAAAACAAAAAACTGTGCTGTTTGACATAATACACTGTTTATACTAGTAGAAGTCACAATAGGTAAGAAATAAAAAGGTAGTAGATTTGGGGAAATTAAATTTCCACATTTTTTGCGCAGAACTTTAGTGGACTGTATAAACCTGCAATATTTGTACCAGCTCCAGTTCACATGTTATAATTTCTTGGGTAACATCCAAACTCTAATTTAGTTAGACAATTTTAAAGTTACTCCGAAAGGCCTAATTTACCCATTATTAGCGCTAAATTACTTCCATGTAGAGAATGGATTTGATTTAAATGACAGGATTTGATTTTTTTTCTAAGTCACATTAGTGACCAAATTTTCTGTTAATTTTTCACATTGGCCAGCTCTACCACCAGTAATCAGCAAGAAAAGAGTATTTTCAGTATTTAGTTGCAGGCTGGTTTATACTAACTTAATTCTTTTTTTTTTTTAATTATCTTTATTGATTGAGATATTACATATGTGTCCTTATCCCCCCTTGGGCCCCCAAATTCTCCCCCTCCCCCCGCTGATGCTCTTAACCCCCCTGGTGTCTGTGCCCATTGGTTATGCTTATATGCATGCACACAAGTCCTTTGGTTGATCTCACCCCCTTACCCCCACCCTCCCATGCCTTCCCTCTGAGGTTTGATGGTCTGGTTGATGCTTCTCTGTCTCTGGATCTGTTTTTGTTCATCAGCTTATGTTCATTATATTCCACAGATGAGTGAGATCATGTGATATTTATCTTTCTCCAACTGACTTATTTCACTTAGCATAATGTTTTCCAGATACATCATACTGTTGCAAATGGTAGGAGTTACTTCCTTTTTTACAGCAGCATATTATTCCATTGTGTAGACATACCAATGTTTTAATCCACTCATCCGCTGATGGGCAATCAGGCTGTTTCCAAATCTTAACTATAGTAAATTGTGCTGCTATAAATATAGGGGTGCATATATGCTTTCTGATTGGTGTTTCTGGTTTCTTGGGATATATTCCTAGAAGTGGGATTACTGGGTCAAATGGGAGTTCCATTTTTAATTTTTTGAGGAAACAATGTTCTCCACAGTGGCTGTACTAGTCTGCATTCCCACCAGCAGTGCACGAGGGTTCCCTTTTCTCTGCATCCTCTCCAGCACTTGTCATTTGTTGATTTGTTGATAGTAGCAATTCTGACAGGTGTGACATGGCACCTCATTGTTGTTTTGATTAGCATTTCTCAGATGATTAGTGACTTTGACCATGTTTTCATATGTCTCTTGTCCTTCTGTATGTCCTTTTTCAAAAAGTATCTATTTAGGGCCCTAGCCGGTTTGGCTCAGTGGATAGAACATCAGCCTGCGTACTGAAGGGTCCCAGGTTTAATTCTGGCCAAAGACACATGCCTGGGGTTGCAGCCTCAATCCCTAGTTAGGTGCGTGCAGAAAGCATCGGATCAATGATTCTCTCTCATCATTGATGTTTCTAACTCTCCCTCTCCCTTCCTCTCTAAAATCAATTAAAAATATATTTTTTAAAAAAGTATTTATATCCGTTGCCTATTTTTAAAAAATATATATTTTATTGATTTTTTACAGAGAGAAAGAGAGAGGGATAGAGAGTTGGAAACATCGATGAGAGAGAATCATCGATCAGATGTCAACTGCACACCTCCTACTGGGGATGTGCCCGCAACCAAGGTACATGCCCTTGACCAGAATCAACCTGGGACCTTTTAGTCCGCAGGCCGACGCTCTATCCACTGAGCCAAACCGGTTTCAGCCGTTGCCTATCTTTTGGTTGGGTTATCTTCCTTTTGTTAAGTTATGTGAGTTCCCTGTAAATGTTGGAGATTAAACCCTTTTTGGAGATAGTATTGGCAAATATGTTCTCCCATGTAGTGGGCTTTTTTGTTGTTTTGTTGATGGTTTCTTTTGCTGTGCAGAACCTTCTTATTTTGATGTAGTTTTATTTGATTATTTTTGCATGTATCTGTCCAGTTTTTTCAACACCATTTATTGAAGAGACTGTCTTGATTCATTGTGTACTCTTGCCTCCTTTATCAGATATTAATTGAGCATAATGGCTTGGGTCGATTTCTGGGTTCTCTGTTCTGTTCCATTGGTCTATATGTCTGTTCTTATGCCAATACCAGGCAGTTTTGAGAACAGTGGCTTGGTAATATAGCTTGATCTCTACTTTCTCATTCTTAAACTTACAACACTTTCTTCTTCCTATCAGTTTGTATGAGTGATATTTTTCTGTTTCACTGACAAGTTCCTACATGTTCTGACCTCCACATGAACTAACCTCAGTGCACATGTGTCCCAACAATTCTCCCTTCCCCCACTTACATGGATAAACTCTTCACCTCTGTATAACCAGCCCCTCCGTAGCACTGAGTCCCTTTCCTTCTCACCAGCTCATGGGCACCACTCCAGTAATTGTTTCATTCAAGTTGCCCCATTTCTCTCTTACATGGTCATTCCCATTAGCATACAGCATGCTATAATCTTTAAAACAAAAAGGAATTATAACAAATACTGGTTCTTAATCTGACGTTTCTCTTCAAGTACTTTTTTTGCTTCTTTCTCAACAGCAAAACTCCTAAAAAGCATTGTACACTTGCTCCCTCTGCTTTCTTTCCTGCCATTCTTGCTGGCGCTGATTTCTGGCATGCAGTGCCCTAGTCAAGGTCACTATTTGCACAGATGTCAGTGACATTTGACACAATTGCTCACATTCTCCTTTTTGAAACACTGTTTACTGGGACACCATTCCCTCCCCTTCCTCTCTCCTCTGCAGTGGCCTTTGTTGACTCCTCCCCATCTTACCTTACTAGGGTGTCTTAGGGCCCAGGGATGTATAAGGACAAACATGCCTCCCAGCCTCGAGGGCCATACTCAGCTACATTTGAAATTGAAATGTTATATTTTTTAAGTTTCTTCACAATTAAAGGTGATGTTCTGTAATGTCTTGGCACCCTTAATTGCTCTACCAACTGAACCTGGACAGGCCCTAGGAAATCTTCTCCCTCCCCCCTCCCCTCACTTTAGAAATGCTTACATTTTGGTCATCTCCAGGTTCTTAGTCAGTCACCAGTCAGACTTGCTCATAGTTGTTGACCTAGCTCATTCATTTCTGCCTTTGTCTTAGACTCGATCCTTTGGACTTTCTCTAGCTTCTAGCCTATTTTCTCTTTGCTAGCAAATGCCCGTTCCCTTGTTCTCTGAGTGTGTGCTCAGCCTTGGGCTTCCTGCCACTGGCCCCTGAGCTAAACCCATCAGGGAGGGGAGATTAGCCAGAAGAAGTTTCCTTTGGCTTCTGTATCTTCGTAGACTTGTTCTTTCATCTATTCAAAATTTATTGAACTCTTTTTCCAGATACTGACAACAGAGCAGTAGGAAAAAACAAAACCACAGAAGTTTATAAAAAGAGATTTATAGAATTTTAATGCAAGTTAGTTAGCATTACCACATTCCTGGTTCCTTACAGAAGCATTGATCACTTTGTTTATCCTGTCAAAAGTGAAGGGATAACATAGGTAACTGGTTGGCTTGCTCTCGCTAAAATATAAGAGTAGGTAAATAAGACAGCATATGGTCTCAGGCTGTGGACTTTATGAACATACGATTTCAAGTTCCTTGTCCTTCAGACTGCTCTGTCTAGGATGCACTGTTGTGAGCCCCTTTTTTCCTCCCTGGTTGCCTTATTTTGTCCCTTTCTTTGCTACTTCCCCATTAAGTGTTTAATTTTTAGTGGCCTGCGTCAATTCCCAGTAAGGGGCATGCAGGAGGCTGCTGATTGTTTCTCTCTCTCGCCCTCACCCTTCCTCTCTCTCGAAAAATGAGTAACAAAATTTTTAAAATATTTATTAAAAAACATACAAAGGAACTTATTACACTTATAATGATAGATACCTAAATGTGTCAACTCCTCCTACTTGTCAGTACCTGGACCACAGAGTGCTCCTGCCACTTCCCAGGAAAAAGAACCCACCCCCTCTAACAATAGAGCAAGGGTCCTCTACCTTACCTGTTTGTGCCTTGACTGCATCTCAAAGGTTTGTCAACTGTTGACTTAAAGTATGTGCATTGAGGGCCTCAATCTCCACCTGTTGGTTTTGTCCATGCTTTATCCTTAGCACATAGAACAAAGATGTAAATATTTGCTGAATGAATGAATGAATCAGCATCAGCATCAGCGAATCAAGATGTGGTATTAATGTAATGACTCTTTCTACGTAATAGGTTTGAAAAACAAGTTTTGCCTCTGTAAACTTAGGTTATTCATTAACTACCCACATCCCTAAATAAGTATTACAAGTGCTATGGTCTCTACCATTTAAACTCAGTTTGTTTTAATGAAGTTGCTCTCATCATTCCCATTTTACTCTTTTCTATTTAGAAACGTACAATATTATATAAGTTCATATTATTGTGGATTTCTGCTACTATATATTGTGCCTTGGAATAATCTCCCTGGAGGTTGCATTGGATTCACTTCAGTTGTTTAAAACAAAACTTTTCTAGGTAGAGCTCAGATGTACCAAATCAGAATATCCAGGGTATAAGGCTGGGTATTTGGCATCTTTATTAAACTCTCTGAGGGATCTCTAACTAAGAAAGCCTTGTTTTGAGCCTTCAAGCTTCTGTCGATTTCTGGCTTCCCAGTGCTGTGGCTTCGCTTTGTTTCATGTGATGTTCATTTTCTTTGTGTTGGTGGTAGCAGTGTCGTTCCCACTTAGTTAAAATTAGGCCAAGTGACCTCGAGCGTTCTTGACCAGAAATGTGGTTGTACAAACTTTGCTGACCTTAATTCCTGGAAGATAGTGGTGTGAGACCATGCTTTAAAAATAAATAAATTAAGCACATACACAGTCTTAGCAGTGGGATTGTTTTATCATCTACTAGACCATTAATT